TAATACAGTGACAAAATGAAGTTTTACTGTATCATTTTTCTATTAAATCTATCAGACCAGACAGGAGAATGAGCTAGATCTTGGTCTGCTTTGCAGAGTAGCAGAAGAAAGAGTTCCTGATAGCTACTGATCAAGCTTGTTAGATTTTGGTTTGTAGGATGGTTGTCATTTGTATCAGTAGAGTGGGAATGTACCCTCTTCCTTTATGCTGTTGAAAGCATAGAAGAAAAGTTTATTTCAATATATGGAAAGTAAGTAACTGCTAAATTCAGTCAAGTAAGCAGTGTAGAGCTAGCAGTGTACTATATAAAGGAAAGCTAACAGCCTCTCTGGTTTTAATGTGTGCATCTGGGTACATCCGTAACGAACCCCGAGTCAAAGGCAGAGCTGCTGAGGTGGCCTGCTACCCTTGCATTTTAAGGCCAGTCTGTCCATGTGGGCTTTTGTTTTGGTTTCAGCTTCCCTTACTCCCATGAGCAATGTCAGATGGGTGAAAGAATCAACATTATTATACTGAAACATTTTTCAGTGTAAAAGAAACTAAAGAATTGGTGGATTTTAGTAAGACTGGGATGAAAACATGGTTGAAACCAGTTTCACTGTAATGCTCTTCAGAGACCACCACATCTTCATAGCCCTCAGCTGATCCCCCCATGCTCTCCCATGCAGAGTCCATGACAGCTTCTGCACGGCTGTAGTGCCTTCTTTTCATAGATCAGCACTGAAACCAGTTTCCACTTTGCTGGGTCACTTTGTAGAGATGCCGTCGCACAGTTTGTATTATTTTCACTTGGGAAGTCTCATTTACTAGTGGCAATGCTGCTCAGTTATAACACGAGGACGTAGGTTATTTATTTTTGCCCCATTATGCCAATATGGTGCTATCTTCTAGATACCATGACATGTATGCATATCCTAAGGCAATTATTTGAGATAATCACTCCTTGGCTTGTGATTATCACAAACAGCAAAGTTACTGTTGACCACCTGGTGCTCACAAGGTTGCACACAGCAAAGTGGGCTGCTGAGGCACTTGATGGAAAGCCTTTGCCATAGGACTTGCTCTTTCTGTGATCTGTCAGAGACTAACTCTGATTTTCAGATTCTATCAGAGGCATCTCTGCTTGCTCAGGTGATTTGGCTTGAACCACATTTCACTTGAAGAGAGGTGGGCAGGAGGTTTTTGGCCTATCCTGCTTTAAAACCTTGTTTTTCATTGTGGCCGTCTTCAGGAACAGAGCACTCTAACAAATAAGTTTGTTTTTAAAAGTGTCCATAATAGCAGTGTTGCATCATTTCCAGGGTTATTTTAAAAATTCTCTTTGTGACTTTACATTATTAATAAGGTGTCTACAGAATTGCCTAGAAAAAAAATCCTTGCGTTGATCTTGAATTTGACTTTATCATTTCTTGTCATAATTGGACCAAGTCCTCAGCTGCAGTAAACTAGTGTCACTTCTCCTCTGTTATTTCTCTTCATTTTATTGGCACTATTGCCACCAGCTGTCATGATAAGATATCCACAGTATGGCAGTAGGGAAGGATCTCCCTTTTGAAGGACAAACTACATAAAATGACACAAGAAACAGAGAGTATATGCTGCATACTGGTTGGAAGCATACTATAATGAGCTGAAAACTCAAGCTTTTGATGGCAAATATGCTGTATGAAGCATGGGTGAATTTAAATGGTTGCTAACTATAATGCTGCAACTAAATTATCACTGGAAGAGAGATTATATGTGAATTTGTTAAAACACAGATACACATATGCTACAGAATGGAATGGGAAAATTTTGTTTGATGCTTTCCTTCTACAGACTCCAGAGTGCATCACCAAGGCTCATATCCCTGTTGCCATTTTAAAAATGGGAAAAGAGAAACACAGAGGAGGAGAGTGCCAGGGTCCCTCAGCTGCACAACAGCAGAGCCACAAGGAGAACTTAGGCTTCCTGAAGTATCAACAAGGGAATTTAAATGATTTGGGTATATTTGCATAACATGCATAAAACAGATTACCCAGTAAAGGTGAAAGGAATGAAACCTGGGTTTGAAGAGATTTAGCTTGGTGTGCCATCAAAATCACAGGCTGGGAAATAGCTCACAAGAATCTGTGGTATCCAAGGGAACTTATTTGTATGGACTAACGCACACAAATCCTATTAGCATAAGAGTTACTTAAGCACATCCTCCCAAATTGATATTGGGCTTTGCTCGCTGCACTCTGAAGTCATAGCCTAATCACAGACCGAGCGCATCAGTGCTGCGCCAGAGTGAAGCCTGTCATTGAGAAAGCACAGTGAGGCCACGGGTGGCCTGATGACTTTATTGCAAGTGGCAAGACAAAGGTGCTCTGTGTATTCCTGAGATAAGAACTTTAAGGATGCAACTGGCTGGGAAATATAACCAGTCTTATAACCTATCTTTATAAAAGATACTAATGTATTAACTGCTGTTTGAATAGCATTTTATAATACACATCGTGTCAAAGGACTGAGAATCTAGAGCAGGTCCTGCTAATTAAAAAAGCTACAAGGGTACAGTATCTTCGCCCTGATGTTAACCTGGACTGCTCTTGTGCACAGTAACCTTAAAATACATCCTAGAGAGTGTGTGGCCCTTCATGTCACACGTCTCTCTCTTTCCTGTCCAGTGGACAACCCACAGGCCTAATCTCCTCCTCTTTGTGGCCATGAAATTTGACTGCTGGCTTTCTGGAACACAGGTTTTACCTTTTTTAACCAGAGCAAAGTATGAGCCTCTATTTCTCTGAATGACAACCTAGAGCACCTTCAACACAGAAGTCCTAGGGAGAAGGGGAGAAATGTTGGGAACAGATGCTTTTTCCTTATAGCTGTAGAAAGATGAGCTCTGTCAGATATTCTAGGTTTCTATCCATGCCGATAGGAAGAGCAAGGAGCCAACCTGAGCAGGAGCAGTTACATTATAGTATTTCATGGTGTTTGAGGGTCCAAAGACATCTTTGAGACACTATACATGTCTTGTGGGCATGTAAAATTCAGATTTCAAAACTGTGTGATTTTTATTGGAGTTTATTTTCAAATGTTAACGTATAATTTGTTTAAATTTGAAGTTTTTGCTTGCTCTTTACATGAGTTTTATAATTTGGATGCCATTCAACATTTGACTGTGTTCCGAAACCACCGAATTTGCCCTATCCATCTTAGCCTCATAATGGATAGATAGAACGTATTAAGAGTTATCACCTCAAAGACAGATCAAAGTCTACTTCCTTTAATATTGACTTTCTTTAAAAGGACCTAAATATAACCCACTAGCTAAATAATTCAATTTTTTTAAGGGGGGGAGGAACTGAGTGCAACAGACCACAATAGCTCCACAGTTTTACGATTTGTTGGAGAAGAAGAAATCCTTCTCACATTTTCTGTTTAAGGAAATGTTACTCTTAGACTAAATGAGCCCAAACCTGTCAGCCATCCAAATGGACTCTTCACTGACATAAGTGGCAAACACTTGCATGGATCAGTGACAGGAACAGCTCAGCTCGAGGAACAGAAACAATGAGCTAATCTGAATAAATGGTCCATTTTCAGACATTTCACAATGTCGTGCAGGGTGGTTTTTGCATTCCCTACTTGACTCACTCTGTTTGATTATCAAAGGTGTTGAAAGATCGGTAACTCACACAGGGCTTTAAAATCTAGTCGTCTTGTTCTGTTCTCTCCTTATATATCTCTTAAGTTTTGGAAAATACACGTATCAGCATGCACATACGTGATAAAATATCCCTTCAGTCAATATACGTTCTCAGGAGTTCCAGAGCAGTGTTGGGGCTGTATCTCCGCGCCTCACGAGAGCACACAAGGAATGAGAGACTAGGGACACATCCTGCCATTTGTCCACGTGTGACTGAATGCTTCTGTCCTCAGGCACTTCTTTCATTCCCATTAAATATCCATGTTTTCTGTCACACTAAGCACTGTTTGATAGGTTCTCTGGTTTTTGCATCTACATTTTAGATGGAGAGGAGGCAGAAAGACCTCAAGGCTGGAAACCATAGATCCCAACTGCAACTTCTGGATGCAGATGCCGTACTGTAAGTGATTACCTTTCAGTGATGTCTCTAAAAATGGCTACACCTGTATTTGGAAAACATTTTTCCTCAGTCTTGGTATGTTAAGTGCTATGGAATCAACAGACACTGAGTAAGCTCTACTATTGTGTGTTTTGCAGTACAGAGGCATCAGAGTTCTAACCTCAGCTCTGTTCTCTCAGGTATTTGTGTTTGTCGTTACTAATGCTATTTTAGTTAAGAATTTTGATCTGTGTTGTACTCTTGCAATAACTGGATAGAAACTGGAAATGGGATCTTCTGCCTGTTGATTTGGAACAGTTTTGTAAAAGCCCTGACATCTCAAAAGCAGAACACATCCATTCTTTCTGGTGGGAGAGAGGGCACTAGGAATAGTTGCTACAGAATAACTGTTTTACATGGTGGAAATCTCTTAGAATGAGACAGACTGCTGGACCTTAGTCCCAACAGGTACAAACATCAGGCCAGTACCACTCTTGAGATGCCTGAACCCCAGAAGTACAATTCTAACCCCACTCAGCTTTCAGTCTCTGACCACTACCTTTCACCAGAATCAAACACCTTTGCATATCTTTAATAAGACACACGAGTACGTCCTGTGCACACAGATATAAAATCTTTCAGAAAGAATTTGGAAGAGCAGGACAGTGAAATACTGTGGTGCAAGCTAACATGTGTGGACCTGCTTTCCTGAACCGCAGCAAGGGCCACGGCAGGTGCCCTGCTAGGAGGACGCACGGATGTCCATCACGTTGGTAACGTCAGCCACAGCACCCAGGTGAACATGCTCAGGGCTGGCACAAGGTACATGAGCTCACTGAGCTTTTCCAATGCCCATAGCTGTGCCCTCTGACACTCCCTGCACACCCCGCTTTTGGCATCACACGGGGGAGAGCCGGTCAGTAGTGAGCAAAGAGGCAACGTACCCACTTTCAACTCCTTCCCGAAGACAGTCCTCTCTCCCAGGGCAGAGCAGTTCCAGCGCCCATTGCGAAACTGGAACTGGCACTCGTTGATGCCCATCTGGGACCCTTCCCCGATGACGATGATAGCGTCAGGCCTGCTCTGGCAGATAGCCCGCTGCCGGGGAGCAAGACCTGGGATCTTGTTACAGATGATGCTGGCTCCCAGGGCCACCACAGAGGAAAAACCCCTGCAACGAGAAGACACCAGGGGTGGCTGGGGGGAAGTTCATCCTAGAGGCCACTGCAGCGCCCTGCCACCTTCCTGCCCTGCGGGGCCCGGCTTTGGCAGGTGCCCTCGGACAACACCCGCCTTTCCCCTGCCCCTTCCCTCTCTCCGCAGCCAAAGCAGCGATCAGGAGCGCGTGGGCTCCAGCCAAAACGCGACCCAACTTCCTCGTTGAGAAATTAAAGTGCAGGCAGTGGTGCGGCATGCCCGGGCCACGCCGGGGCAGCGGGCGGGGAG